GATTTATACAGATCACAAGAGTCTACAACATCTGTTCAACCAGAAAGATTTAAATATGCGACAGCGTCGGTGGATTGAACTTGTTAATGATTATGACTGTGAAATCCTTTACCACCCAGGAAAATCCAACGTGGTAGCTGACGCTTTAAGTAGAAAAGAAAGAAGCGAGACTATTAAAACTGTGGCAATGAGAATAAGTTCAGTCCCTGATATCCATAAAGAAATTCTGAGATGTCAGAAGGAAGCTATGAAATAAGATCTTATCAAGTTAGAAAGGTTGGGTAAGATGATTTCAACCTTGGAACCAAACGACAAAGGGATTATGTGTTTTCAAGGGTGAATTTGGATACCAAGTTTTGGGGATATCCGAAAAGTAATTTTGAATGAAAGCCATAAGTCCCGATACTCTATTCATCCAGGTACCAATAAGATGAATCGAGATCTAAATTTTTTTTATTGGTGGCCCGGATTGAAGAAAGATAACAATGTTTAACATGTCTACAAGTTAAGATTGAGCATCAGAAACCGTATGGAAGTCTTCAATCTTTGGAGATTCCTGTATGGAAATGGGTCATATTATGATGGATTTCGTCATGAAGTTACCTCGAACTCCAAAGGGATATGACGCGATCTGGGTACTTGTTGATCGCCTATCTAAGTCAGCATATTTTCTACCTATAAGAGAAAATTACTCTTTAGAAAAACTGGCTCAAGTTTATATCAGAGAAATTATCACTAGGCACGGTGTTCCACTGTCTATTGTTTCTGATAGAGATAGTCATTTCACCTCAAAGTTCTGGGAAAGTTTGCAGAAAGCTTTGGGGTCTGAAATTCGATTAAGTACAGCCTATCATCCGCAAACAGACGGACAAAGTGGAGAACTATCCAGATTCTCGAAGATATGTTGAGAAGCTGTATCATTGATTTCGGGGGATCGTGGGAAGATCATTTGCCACTAATAGAGTTTGTGTATAACAATAGTTATCATTCCAACATCCAAGCGGCACCATATGAAGCATTGTATGGACGTAAATGTAGAACGTCGTTGTGTTGAAACGAAGTGGGTGAGAGGCAGTTAACGGGTCCTAAAATTGTTCAAGAAACTTCAGACAAGATTGAACAGATCCGAGAAAAAATCAGAACAACACAAGATCGCCAGAAAAGTTATGCTGATAATCGTCGAAAGCCGATTGAATTTTGTGTAGGTGATTTTGTGATGTTGAAAGTTTCGCCATGGAAGGGTGTCATCAGATTTGGGAAGAAGGGTAAGCTCAGTCCGAGGTATGTTGGGCCGTTCAGAATATGTAAACGAATTGGGCCAGTGGCGTACCAATTAGAAATACCAAAAGAACTAAGTCTGATTCACAACACTTTCCATGTATCGAATTTGCGGAAGTGTTTAGTTGATCCAAGTCTCGATGTACCATTACCAGAGGTCAAACTAGACAGCAAGCTAAATTTTGTAGAAACACCAGAAGCCGTGATTGACCGAAAAATCAGGGTGTTGAGAAATAAAGAAATCAGTCTGGTTAAAGTACAGTGGAAGTTGCACAAAGGACCGGAAGCAACCTGGGAATTGGAGTCAGAAATGAGAACAAATTATCCATGTCTCTTTGATTAAAGGAATTCCGGGACAAAATTCTTTCGAAGGGGTGGATAATGTGATAACTGGATTCTGATTATTACCCAAGGTATTTATTATGTGAATTAATTGTTTATATGGATACATGATTACATAAAATTAATATGTGAGTATGTGTATTTTATGCATAGGGATACATGCATAATATATGGATATATATATATATATATATGAGTATGTGTATGTTATGTATATATGTATGCATCAATATGCATGTATGTGTAGGCATATGTGTGTATGTATGCATGAAATGATATATATATGCATGTGGTTGAGGGAAAGTTGATCGACTTTCCACTGTTGGAAAGTATAAATAGAGGGTTTTGAGAATTTAGTAAGTTTTTGGTTTCATTTTAAGAATTTTGGGAGAATTAAAGTGAAGGTTGTCCGGATAAGCATTTTGGCTTGTATTCTTCTTCTACTTCAAAATTTGAGTTCATACTTAAAGGTGAGTGATTTCTAAAAATACTCTTTTAAAAGCTTTAATTATTACTGTAGAAAGAACTGCATATTATTCTTAAAATTGATTTTGTGCGATTTTGGTTTAATCGGATAAGGGTTGATCGGACTAGGTATAAACCGGACAAGGCTTGTCCGGATTATTCTTAAACCGGATAGGAGTTGTCCGATCTATTTATAAATCGCTTGGGTGTTGAGCAATTAGGGTGTTGGTGGGAATTTGAACTAAGTAAACCGGACATAGGTTTTGAACGGAGAAGTATGAATACGACCAAACATTATGCGGTTTAGCCTTAAAATCGCTTAAGGGTCGTGCGGATTAGTCATAAACCGATCACGTATTGAGCGGTTTAGTTTTAAATCGATCATGTGTTGTCCGGATTGTCTTAAACCGGACATGAGTCATGCGATTTAGTCTTAAATCGATTAAGTGTTGTCCGGATTAGTATATTGGACAAGAAGGGACAATGTTGTCCGGATTGTATATCCGGATAACTTATC